TGCACGTACATCAGCTACTAATTTTAGGACGAAGCTTTTAGCCGTATGTGAGAGCTTCTCACGAAAGCCGTTGAACACTGCAAAGCGTATTTCTAGGGAGACTCAGCCCCGACCACTGGACCCTGGTACTGATGGGCACCCGTAAAAGTCACCGCTGCTACCTGAAAGACAACTTGCAGACACTGCTTTGGTATCCCACATTATCCACTGACAGATTTACAGAAGTCTGGGATGTAGTGAGATTTATTGCTTCAGTTTTATGTACTAAGGTGCAATAAATTCTTCTGAGAAGTTAACGCTATACCATTCCGGCTTTTTCCTTTCTGCCCAGCCTCAAGGGAAAAGGCGTACAGAGGAAATAAATTCCTACCACATCCACCATCATTTACTCCAGCGCATTCCCACTGTGCGAAGAATAAACCCAAGGAGTGATGATCAAGCACAAAATGAACACTTCATGCATTTTATTGAGTCTATTTAAATTTGCATTATGACATCTTACATAGGGAACAAACTCCTCCTAAATGTTAGCTATCAAATCTGGTCAAACTGTTGTCCAATGACCTCAGAGTACCATCTTGTATTAAACAAGTCCAGTATAAACAGATGTAAAGCACTGTACAAGAGGGAAAAAAAAAAAAAAGAAAACTGTTACATTCTCAGTTGAATTCAGGGCTTCCCAACCAACAGCCTTACTAGCAGATAGTGAAATTCAGGAAGGAGTCTCAGGTATTTTAGCTTAAGGGAACAAACCCAAATAAAACAATCAAAGCAAATTCAATGGTATGTTTTCCCATAAGAAGAAAAGAAAAAAAAAAAAAAAAAAAGAGATACCTCATATGAAAAAGAGGTTGGGAAGCCCTGGTATAACAGATGCAAACTTCTTTTTTAACACAGCACAACTGGTATGTACTTTGGGTAAGTTACCATTGATTCTGTCTCTTCACCCTCCTTCCTCCCTCCCTAGTAGGATAAACAAACAAAAAGCCTAGTGTACGTAAGTGTTGGAAATATTTCTGCATGTTATAAATTCCCTTAACATGGCTCCAAGCCAACCCTCATCCAAAGCACCTCCTCCTGGAAGACGGCAGAGGAGCAGGCAGACATTTCCGTAACGACTGTGTACCTCATCAGCTCCACACTTGCTTACATACCCTTACTCAAGCAATGCAAGCCCCCGTGGTAGGAGCAAGGATGACCGGTGAGAAAACCGAGACATCAGACAGTTACACGAATGTACATGTTAATGAAAAGCATCCCAAACTAAAAATAAGGCTGCGGCTAAGCCAACAGGATGAAGCTTTGTATTGCAGTGTGACGGTGAAGATCACACTGGGAGATTCAGAAAACCCCGCATCGCACTGCTGAAAGTCAGAGACCGATGGTCAGCCTTAACTGCGCTTCTTTTCTCACCTTCATATTAGACACTCATTATTACGAGACTACTGGGAACCTCCTCTTTGTGTAGGCAACCATTTCAAGATAAACATCGACTGCAGATATACCAGGGAAAGTGTCCTTTGGACTCTCTACATTTGCATAATCCAGACAAGTGACAGGAAACTGGAATGACAGTCATTATATGGTCCATTGTGCCAACTTTGGTGGGAAATCCATTCGTTTGTAAGTTGACACAATGGACAATTAGGGCTCCTTCAAAACTGGTACGGTATCATGTCAGTGCAGCTGCTGTGCCTGCACATCAATACCTCTTACAAAATGTCTTTAAACTTTTAATGAGTAATTTCTATGCATGCAGTACCTACACTAATCAAATAATTTTTAAAATGAGTCAATTAACTGCCTACAAGTTCTTTGCAAAAACCCATCTTGTTTGAAGAAATAAAAAAGTGCACGTGAAAGAGATATCTAACAAACCCCAGGAATAACTCTTCACAGTCTTTTAATGGATAAAGCCCCCAACTAAAAAAAAAGTAAGCACCCACAACTCTGTATAGGTTCACAATCTGAGTTCAACTATCAAACACACTCTTAAACAAAAAAATACTGTGTGTTCTTCTAAGTTTTGGCCTTGTGACTGCTTTAATTGCTGTGTATGGAGGTCCTGTGGGTACAGGTCTGTCCTGCCAGAACGGAATTAAGCTCACACACCAGGTTAAGATATTCACAGCAGGAGCTTGGATGGTTTGCAGTTTGAAAAAACCACCACGATAACTACTGAGGCAGGCGATAACAAGGAACCTCCTTCAAAAATAAAGCAAGAGCCTTCAATGCAAAAGAACCCACGCTGCTCCAAGCAAGGAGACAGACTTCTCCTGGCTCTGAAGGAAGGTGGAGAGAGGCTCCCACACGGTGGCACTGTGAACCAGGCAGCTGATGCAACAAGGCTGTCTCGGCCTCTTCAGACTCAGCATTTCTGCACTATCAGGCCTTGGAAAAGGACAAAACTAGCCATTTTAACCCTTCATATGGCTACAAGCATGAGTTAAGTGTAATACCAAGTGTAATACATCCTGCAATACCAAGAAAGCATAAACTGAGGGAAGCAATAAGTACAAATGCTCAATACCAAAATGATTCATAAACTGTAAATTAGGCTGTGAACCTTCTTAAAATAAGAGTGTCTTTCATATTTTGTTAGCAACTGAAGTGTTAATATTGGCTTTTCCTAACCCGATCTAACTACAAAAGAATAGAAATTGAATTACCACAGCGGCTGACAGATGACTCAGCTACATAAAGAGGTCTTTGCTGTATCAGCAATTTAATTTCTGCCAACTCCTCCAGATGTCAGACAACAAGCCCCCAGCACCTTTAGCATGCTCAGCGTCAGGAAAGGCATATAAAACATTGAGAACATTCAAGGTCCCCTGAACTGATGTTAAATTATTTGTTCTTGGTACCATTTGGGAAACCTCCAACATTTTATTAGTTGCTATTGTTACAGAAAGACAAAATGTTAAGGCATGCCACTATTAAGCTATAACAAAACTGTAAAGTTGATTCTACCAATATGAACAGTTACTGGAAACTCAGAACATTAAAAGAAAGCTATGTTGAATGACACGTATCATGGCCGTGCTTCACATTAATCAGCACTAGTGGGCTCCTTTCTTTCTGGTCACCAGCTTTAGTCCTCAGAGATGTACCTCAGACTTTTGAAATCTAACATGGTACTCGCGTAGAGAGGGTTTTTTTCCTTCTAATTCTACGCTCCAGTAAGTCAGTAAAGCTACTGGAAACTGCAACTGAGAGTATGTATTTGCTATGTGAATGCTACTGGAAGAAATTCAGAAGTGTTATTTTGTTGAGGAAATTTTGGCATAGAGAGTCCAGCACCTGAAATTAATAGCTAACTTCCAATTTTACAGTGATGCATGTCAGAGGGAAAAATTTAAAAACATGAACTTATTTACTCTTCTGTTGAGAAAGAATACACGTATTCCCTCTGCCACAATGGTGCGTCCCACCAAGAGGAAAGCGAGCTCAATAGCCAGTCAGGGTTTCCCACTGAACCAAATGCCACAAAACACACATGTAGAAAAAAAATTGGAATTTTGGGACATTGCGGAATCCTTAACTAGCTGATGAGATGTTAAAATGGCTTAGAGCAGAGACTATAGTTTATGCAACCACCACTATAAAACACCAAAAATGTGTTTTAATTAGGAGAAAGAGATAGGCCAGCTTTGGTTTTGTCATCTGAGGAACAAGCAACATTGCCCATATAGCCAGCAAGAGCAGTTCATATCCCTTCATAACTACTGCCCCGGAGTTCAAATAAATATTGCTTTCCCTGTTGCACATGTAAGCTAGGAGAAAAAAAAAAAATCAGAGAATAAAACAAAGAACAGGTCATTGAGGGGGAGGGATGTCTTCCCCTGAAACTGGTGAGAGTTGAGCTACATTCTCCAATTCTCAACTTTAATATGCCACGCACATAATTTTAGAAGTAAATTAAACTCATTTTAATCTGTCCAATAGGAGTACAAAGAGTTTGTTGGGTTTTTTTTAACGTTCTTAGAATTGGCTACACATTTAAGTGTATAATCAATTATAATTTTAAATTTAACCTAACACTCTAATAATCTGTTACTCGGTTAATACTTAAGTTATTTTTCTGCGGCACTTCAGTGACAGGCTACCAACACTGGATATATCAGCAAGTTCACTCAACAGATCCAGAGGTTACTAATATAGCTGAAGCTGGTAGGGAAGAAAAACAAAACACTTGTCAATACTTATCTGCTGAATAGTAATAGTTTCACAGAGTTGCCTCAAAAATTGAAAGTAAAAATTGATAGAAAAATTGGGCATAAACCTCACTGAATGAACTGGTACATACTGCTTTGTATTATTACATATTAGCAACCACACCAAGAAATAACCAGCCATTAGAACAGTTTCTAATTTTTATCATCTCTTTTGGTGGCATTACTGAGCCAAAACACTGCAATTATAACATTTAATTTCCGTTTTTTAATGCAATTAAGATGTCTAATTCAACTGTTTTTATATTACAGTAGCTGTTCACATAAATAGTACAGATATGCACTGCTCTTGACAGGTACACAGTTACAAAAGCAGCTCTCGTATTTAGTTTGCTCTCTGTGTGGTGGGTTTTGTATGAAAAGCATTCTTGATTTCTAAGCATGGTACAATTTTAATTCTTAATGCGTTAGTACAACAGTGCATTGGAAAAGTACTGAGCTTCTACAAAAAAGCTTTACAATTTTAAAACAGATTTTTTTTTTTATTTAAACAAGCATAGGCAATTCTTATATTTCCACAACAAGATAAATATCCCAATTAAGCTAACAGCTCATCCTACAGCGTGCCATAGTGATGGGGAAAGGGCTAACATTAGTGTTATTTACAGAGACATGTCCAATATTAACCCAGTATGAAAATTAAAAGTATGTTCAAGTGTGCAATTAAGTTCATATTTTTTCAGATAGTTGGATTTCTTGCAAAAATTCCTCTACGACTCATGTACATTTAGCTGGGATGACTTCTCAAAACTCCTCATAAGCACAATCTTGAGAACAAAATGGTTATTGGACTGGAATGGCAGGGGCTGGGTGGGGGGAAAGAACTTAATACACTTCACAAAGAAAAAAATATTTTTAAGTGGGTAGATGTCTTTGGACAAGTGAAATTTAACACCCAAACTGACTACATCTTGAAAGCCCTAATTAAAGAAATTTCCCAATTTTAAAAGCTTGAATTCAGAGAAAATGCTTTCATGAGGGAATATTCACTCCAAGTCATTACTATACATTGAGGTACCACTCAAAAAGTGGCCATAAAGGAAGTGACTTCTTTGCCCATCACTATCACACTAGCTGCTTGGCCATAAATTCAGATCTCATTTAGACAACACTCTCTCTGTTACCAGAAGCTAAGACTGCTCTGCGACAAATAGGACAAGTGGAATTTTCTGATAACCAGCGATCAATGCAGTGGACATGATACTCGTGCGAACAAGGCAATTTACGGAGCTTGTTGCCTTCTGTGTACTCTGTAATACACACACTACAGGTTTTCAGAGCATCGCTCTCACCAAAATTCCTCATGGCTAGGTTGTCAATTTGTTCTTTGGTGAGTCCTCTTGGTTGGTCATCATCATCTTCATTTAGTAGGAAAAATTGTGCTAGGCTAAGGAATGGTAGAGAACCACTTTCTTCAAATGTGACCGATCCCCTTGTATTCCGACCTTCCCGTCTGGCACCAGATGTTGAACCACCTTCATTACCACCTTCATACACCTCCCCTGAGCTAGCATCTGTACTTTCATTGCTTGAAGTACCACCACCTCCGTTCTGTGGCTCAGAAGCATCCACGTTCTGATTTGGAGTTGGGCCACTAGGATCTGCATCACTATCACTATACATAAAGTAACTCAGCTCTCCAAAGCCTGTCATTATCTGCCTTAGCATAGTCTGAATAGCAACTGATGTAGTCTCACTCAAGCCTGTGTTTAAGATCCTACGGATAGGAATCCTAATGGTACTGACGTAAGTTCTCACTCCAGCCCGTTCTGAACGTGAAAACGTGCGCCTAAACCCTCCCCGTTCACTTTCGTAAGTGACTGTGTTGTTAGGTGTCTGGGACCTGGACCGAGTTCTGTTGGCTATGCTGTCTCTTTGCCGATATTCCCCTGGACGAACTCTTCTCACCTGAAGATCAAGTACTATGGTAGGAGGCCTCTGCCCAGGAGTTGCGGACTCACTGGTGCTGTTAGTTTCTGAAGAACCTGCTGCTTGAGGAACAGGTCTTGCTTCAGGGGTCGAAAACAGAACTGCATTTTCACTTGGCATCTCAGTCCCCACTGTATGCTGCCTTAATGTCACATGCTGCCTAGTTCTAGAACTTCCCTCAGCTTCATTCACTGAGGAGTGGTCAAGAGTTTGAGATGATGTATTGAGATGAGACCTGCGAGGAGTCTCACTCACTGGATTAATAGGTGACCTACTTCTATCAGTCCTAGCCCGTGTTCTCCGCTGTTCTGGACTCCTACTTCTCGCTCTCCTCTGCCCTCTAGGAGGGGAAGCTTCCTCAGCTGTTAGCTCCTCCGAAGTGCTCCTTTCTGATCCAGGCTGCCTTACAGATGGTGATTCAGACCTTGGAATTTCAGAGTCACTTTGGCTGTTCTCCAAATCCTCCCCACTGGAAGGCTCTACAGATGGCTCATTCTCAGTTTCTGGATTTGTGTTCCCATTATTACGGTTGACATTTATTTCCAAACTGAACCTGAAGTCACCACTATTTGGGTTAGTCCGGCTCACTGCTCTCCAAGACTGGTTTCCTCGTTGCCCACTTCGTGTTGTATTTCCAGTCTGTCGGACTGAATTAAGCCAGTCTATTATAGAATCTCCATTTGAAACATCTTCTGCGGACTCTGCACCTGCGAAAAAGACAGGGAACTACCACAATTAGAGTACTGAGCTAATTTTGGAGTGATCTTTTCCAAGAACATAATTGCTTAGTTTAACAAGTGACAATTTAGAAGTGCTTAATCCTATCAAGTGCTATTGTGGTTTCACACGTAGCATCACAACTCGCATCTACCAGAGCTCTTTTAAGGGAGCAGGAGTGGACATTTTTCTAAGATGTACAGATAGGCTGCAGCCATCACATAGAAAACAAGTCAAAATAACACAGGTTGTTTATTGTAAGTAAATGGAAAGTCACATTTCAGGTGTCATCGACTGCTAAATAGAGAACTAAGTTTGTCCTGACCCTTCACTTGAAGAATAGCTTTATAGCAAATCTGTCTCACTAAAGAATTAACTCTAGTGGTAAGCTCCAAGCGTTCTCCACCAATCTCTATGGAAGGGTGATAATGAAAGCAATACAGCATCTTCAGAAGGGAAGAATAGTGAATAAAAAAAGGATTGCCAAAAAGCATCCCAGAAGGAAGCAGACAGGAAGGCAATCTTCAATTAAAAAAAAAAACAAAAAAAAACAAACCCTAAATGAAACTTTATCTTGATGCAAGTAACAGATGCCTTATGAGTGAAATCTGTCCCAAACTGACCTCTGCAGCAGATATAACGCTCACTTAGTTTTGAAGCAAAGCTCACCTTGCACCTGCCTAGGCTTAACTTTGTTCCACTCCTGCACTCAAGTTAAGGTCCGTATGGGGTGCTAAAGTTAAGAGTTTTCACAAATACTGTATATACCTCTATTCTCATCACTGTTTTGCTGTGGCGGACCTTCTTTAACTTGGTGTAGCCTTCTCAGCAACTCTTCTTCAGTAATTTCACCTTAGAAAATAAGCAAAATTTTCCAAAAATATTTCCAAATCATATGTATGGCAAGCATTATCAAAAGCTTCTAAAGAAGGTACAAGCCACTGCTTTTTTTTTCTAATTAAATCCTGCCATAACGAGACTGCCAAACAGGTTGCTAAAGGGAGGTTCAGATACTTCAGCACCATTTTAAGTTTTCCTGAGGCTGAAAGATCCAACAGTTTCAGTGTATTCAAGGCAGATGTGCCTTCTTGTTCTGTAACCTCTACAACTGATCAACAATTTTCATCATCCTATACCAATTAAATGGCTGTCTAGAGTAACATATTTAAGGTAACACCTTCACAAGCATGAAAAAAGGTTTATATTAGTTTAAGTCATGTTTTAAATTAGAACTGGTTTGAATTAGGTATCATCCTATAAAGTGTCAATTTAAAGTAATAAGTCAATTGAAAACTGACATAAAAATGCCCATGCAGAATCTCACACCAGACTACTTACCCTAGTTACAAACTCTTAACCTCACCAGCACAAAATTTTCACACAGATGCTTAAGGGAGATTACTTTTTGATCAAAAAAGTCTAAGGGTCCATAACTGGAACAGGGTCAACTCTGGGTGTTGCCACCAAGTTGTGTAGACCCTAGACTTTGGTATCTGATGAATCCACCTCATCCTAACTACCTCTCCGCTAGTCAGGGGACTGGTCAAATTTAAGTACGCACAATTTAGCAAGAAGCTACTTCCTACCATGGAACACAACTGCAGCACACAAACTAAATGGATGAAACAGTTTCAGGAGAACAGAAAATGACACAAATCACCTACAAGCAATTCTAGTAAGATGTACATACCCAAACATTACCTACCTGGTGTTCCTAGCAAATTGTTATCTCTCATAAGCCTGTAGTCCTCTTCACTCAGGTTGTTTACAAACTGGTAGAAAGCTTCTTCTCGATCTAATCGATCTAGCTGACTCTGACGTTGTGCTTCTGATTGATCAATACTTCCTTTATCACTAGAATCTGAGCTTTCCATCTTGATGAGTGGGAGAGTACCTAAAAAGGAGAAAACAAACCCTTCATCCAGCATAGTGAAATATGGCATGAAATTTAGGCATGTTTAACCTGTACTACATTCTTCATTGTTATCCTTAAATTGGGGGGGGGGGAAGAGGGGAGAGTTTGTGGGCTAGCGGGGAAGTAGTTTGCTAATGAAGCTTCAGTTAAGATGAGGTGCATAACCACAGGGATCAAAAGTGAAATCATTCTCAAAGCACAAACCTCTTCAAGAAGTTCAAACAAAATCTATACCCATCATTATCAAATACTCAATAAAGCAGCAAGTATGAACACATGGAATATCATCAGCCATAACCCTTAGCCCATCTTTACATTCACATAGTTGACCAGATGTCCATGACTATCTGGTTTTTAGCATAAAATATTCCTAATACTGCACTGCCTCACAAAGCATGACTTACAGTGCCATACAACAGTGTAGTACAAGGCATAAGCCATCCTTGATCATGCTCTCTAACTCTAAAAGAGCATGGGATTATATGTTCATAACTTCTGCCTGCCTGCTACAAGAAACACCCTCTTCACCATCCACGTGAATTTTAACAGAATGAAGGGGTTATGAAGAATTCAAATATAGAAGACTGAAGATGCTATGGAGCACTACGTGTGCAAAAAAAAAAAAAAGCAGCTATTCATTTCCTCAGAACAGGAAAAGGGTTTGTAAAATCAACTTTATAGTTTTATGTCAAGAGAAGAATTTGCTGGCAAATTTCAGCATTTACTGAATTACTGATGTTGATGACTAAAATTTCCAGGACAAAACTCCACTGTGTATACCAGGTATAACTTCTGCTATACAGAGCTGTCTTCTATATCACATATTTTTAAAAATAATCTTCTCCTCATAGTTTTTCATTTGGATGCAATCCTTGACAATTTGTGCCTCAAAAAAATTATCGATGAATGCCATGTCCATATCTGATAAATATTATAATAAAATACATGCAAATGCAGAAGACATTCTGGCACTAGTTGTGCCATGCAAATATATCAAATGAAGTTAAAATAATAACTAGTTTCCTTAATCACTACGCCTTGCTATTCACAACATCAAGAATTTTCCTGTACAACTGGTAGAATCTAGTTACTCAGAGGTGATTAGCAAGCTAATCCTCTGCATGCTAAAAAGCTCTGCAATAACATTCCCCATCAGAAAACATTCCTTTCATTTAAACCATACTTCATGTGACATGAAAATACTGGAAGAATAAAGCTTTTCTGCTTCTCACTGGAAAATTTCCAACACTTAGACATCTGTCTAGTGCAAAAAGCATCTTTTTTTGGTTTGTCAGCACAGCTGTCAAGTCAAGACTGCCCACAGTTTACATTAGTGCTTCTCCACAGAAGAGCAGCACTGCATGATCTCCAGCGGTAGTTTATTTCAGCTGCTATTGTGAAAATTAAAGTGCGCTGACAACCTCAGTGTGTAACAGCAGAAAAACTCCACAGGATAGGACATCCCATTACTGCAGACTTGCAAATTATAAAATAGCTACTCCAACCCTCTTTGTCTTGAATTCTGACGCAGTAGAACTTGTTTTTAAGTTAGTCATATTAAGGCACAAATGACTTGCTGCCATTCAGTAATGTAGTATGCAAGGCTACCGGTATTATTTGGTTCTGTGAATTTCTGCCACTTTACCAAAGAAATTAGGCTTATTTTTCACCTATTTATCAGTAAGCACCAGCAATCACTAAGTTTACTACCATCTCAAATGGAAGCCTATCAGCATTCTCTGCATTGCTAAATCTCTGGTGCAATCTAGAGACTGCATGGCCCGTCTGAAGCCTGCATGTGATGTGCTGTCAAATACACTGATAAATGAACCCATTCACAGTGAAAGTTGCGCAATGGTTTCAGCAGGTATGTTCAACTCTGACTGGGCTCAGTTACGAAATCTGTATGTCCTTCAAATCTTGGACACATATTTCTAATGAGAACATAGCTTGCTTGAAACTCAAACAACTTTTTTACAAGCTTTCTGTAGCAGAATTATGATTCCAAGTAACTTCACTTAAATACATATTCATTCTAGAGAAGATACCAGAAATACAAAGACAGCTACTTTTAAAAGAAACATCTGAATAAAGCCTCAAGTAGAATGAGAGACGTGCATCCAAAATAAAACCTGGAAAGATACATTAGTTCTCTGGGGATACACACCAAAACTCTAACCAGCACTCCCTTTTTTAGGACAACAATGAAACAAAGTTGACAATACGATTAAGAAAATAAGGGAATGTAGTAAGATGCTAAGGGACAGGAGCAGCACAAAGTTTTGTAAAATATTTTCCCCAAAATGACTGCCAGATTGGTATTTACTGACTTTAAAACACATAGAATGTCTTCATAAAAATGCCAACATATCTGTAAGCATTAGACTAATTCTACAACAGCTCTTAAAAAAGGAAACCGCACTATGCACACAAAGCATGACATCTGTTTACTGCTTATGCTTTGAAATTTTCCTTTTAACTGCAAATTCCAGTGCTTGCAGGCACCTTAGCTATAAAAATGCCTGTTTGATTCAACATTTGCCCATTCCATTTCAGAAGATGAAGGGGCACTGTTCTTGGTCAGGGAAAAAGGGAGAGTCAGAACAAGTTGGGGACGGGGGGGACGGGCAGTGGGGAGACAGACAGACAGCAGAATCTCTTCTTTACCAACAGGTTGATGTACACTTCAGTAGGTGATCCTTTAGGTAATGCTCGGAATAAGTCAAAGTCAGTTTTACTTATTTCCAGGTTTTGCTCCTCTTTTCTCCTCCGTCATCTCATATCTTCCCTCCTAAACCATAAAATCAGCTATTGGTCAAGACTGAAAAGATGCTATTGCTAAGAAAAAAGCCTCAGAGGTGGGATCTTGAATTAAGAATTTAATTTACATTAGGGCTATTTCTACCAGTGACAAACTCAGCTGTATTTTCCAATTGCAAGCTACTGTAACAGATTACACTAGACCACTGTACCCCAGTTTCACACTGTTTAGCTTCAATGTCCTAGAAATGCTATATACCTATATGGGATGTTTACATTGATGGAAATACAGATGGCAAAGAAACACATAAATGCACATCAACACATTCTCCCTACTTTAGTCTTGACAGCAAATGGGACAATACTCTTCAAACTAGAGCTCTGATATTATAACCAGTAAATGGAAAATAGGATTTCTACCCCAAGGCTTATGTTACTTTCTATCTCTTCACTGTCCACTCAGCTCATTGTCCACATCACCCATTTTAAGCTTCACCTCCCACACCGCTGCAGAGCACTATGTTACCAGACTGAACTTACTAGAATATTTAGGCTACTACTGCCTCAGCACGACTCCATAGGTCCCATCAGGCTGTACAACAGGACTTCCACGCGTGGGTTTAACCCCAGCCAGCAACTAAGCACCACACAGCTGTTTGCTCACTCCCCCCAGGTTGGGATGGGGGAGAGAACCAGAAGGGTAAAAGCGAGAAAACTCATGGGTTGAGATAAAGACAGCTTAGCAGGTAAAGCAAAAGCTGCATGCATGAGCAAAGCAAAACAAGGTATTCATTCACCACTTCCCATCAGCAGGCAGGGGGTCAGTCATCTCCAGGAAAGCAGGGCTCCATCACACCTAACAGTTACTTGAGAAGACAAAACACTATCTCTCTGAACATCTGCCCCTTCCTTCTTCTTCCCTCAGCTTTATACCCTGAGCGTGACATCATGTGGCATGGAACATCCCCTCGGTCAGTCAGGGTCAGCTGTCCCAGCTGTGTCCCCCGCCAACTTCTTGTGCCCCCCCAGCCTCCTCGCTTGGTGGGGTGGGGCAAGGAGCAGAAGAGGCCTTGGCTCTGCTCAGCAATAACTACAACATCTCTGCATTATCAACACTGTTTTCAGCACAAATCCAAAACACAGCCCCATACTAGCTACTGTGAAGAAAATTATCCCAGCCAAAAGCAGCACACCATGGTGGCAGTTACTATGTTACCTCGCTCCTATTTCAGGGTGGTAGAGTGTTGCAGAAATAACCTGAAAACCTGTCCCTCATTGGGATTCTGTTCTCAGCTCATACACTGCAGAAGATTAATAATGGCTTAAGGAAGCTGACTACAGTAACATGGGGAAACCTGACAAGGGAAAACCAACAGGTATACAATTAAGTTACAACAAAATAACCAACATCTGATTATCTAATAAGCAGGTATGCTTCAACTCTGTTTCTCTTTCTTCCAGTGGTTTAGTTCAACTCAAAGTAAGAGTTTTCTTCAGTGTCCCCCCCTTGTCAGCGCTGAGTTGACAAAGGGTGGGGAAGGTCACATCTATGAGCAGGAAGTTCAGATCTCTTGATTATTGCCAACTTCAGCTGAGATATCCAGCAATGAAAATCTCTTTATGAGAAAACAGGGTGGGGGGAATCACCTAAAGGTTGCACAAAACAACAGAATCATAGCTAGAATACATTACTTTCTCCTTTAAAAAAAAGAGAAAAGAAATTAAGGAAAATATTCTTCAGCAGCTGAATATCCAGACACATTAACTACAGTGGATTCTTAATTGGTGTTCCCATCCTTCCACAAGTCAGCAAAGTACCTTCCCTGCAGTTACACTTCAACAATCTCAGAGATTTCAGAGCACAAATGACTAGCTGTCTCTCCACTGCTGCTAGAGACTGCAGGAGCAAAAACAGTAAGCCCACAAAAGGTATTGTTTGTTACATTCTTTTATTCAAGAGAAAGTAATATTATGCTCTTTTGGATAGGAACAATTTAGGAGTACTAGATGTTCTTTCAATAATACAATATTATCATTCTCACAGTGCAAGAAATATTTTACATTTTCCTTTATGCCAAGTAGTATGTAAACTAAATCCCATCAGCCAGGAATTTACTGCTTAAAAACAATCTAGTGGGACAGCAAGCAGTGATAAAATACTTGTGTAGTCCATTTACCTTGAACAGTAACACTGTGTATCTCCATAATGCTTAGCACTTATGGACTACAGAACTCTTACCCGAAAAGTACTAAGGGACTATAAGGCACAGTGATAAATCACTAGCTCTTCCCCTTTCAAAAATGTGTAATATTTCCTGACATTAGTTATCTGTATTGAATACCAAGACACTACCTTAGCCTGCATTCCCCATTTTTAAAATTTAAAAAAAAAAAAAAATTACGTAAAACATTAGAACTCTCATTAAACTAGGTAAAACTTAGAAGATTTGACAAACTCAGAAATCACTCATTTGCAGGGTCAAATGAAAAAGCAATACCTTAAAGTTATGGGGCAAGTCTCAAATTTTAGCAGGAGAAAGGCACTGAATTAAACTGCAGAAACAACTCAGATGCTCAGGAGCTAGCTGTGCAACAAAAATTTCCTCTAAAATTCCCCCCATCTAGATGTTACCCATATTTCAACTTTACATGAAAATTTGTAGTGCCCTGTATGTTAGGAATGTTTCCTGAATTACCTCATGTCCCAGCAACATAATTAATACCTCTGTATAAACAAAAAAGATGATGGCAATATGAGTAAGTGTTTCATAGATGTGCTCAGCAGAAGGCTAATTTCTCATTTATGATTCATAACCTCATCTTAATTAGGTACTTCAACTGGTAGAGCACCTTGCTTACTTCCAGTCTGCAGAAATCATCAAACCCTTCGACTAAAAGACGACATTTGGTAGTGGAAGCCAGAAATACTTATTTTCTGGTTTGCGTTGTTACAGATTAACTACTTTTTCCTACCCTGCTTTCACTGAACATACCTCAAAGACATTTTAGCTCTACAGCAGAAGTACAACACAGCTGTCTGTTCAAAGCGCTTTCCATGAACTCTGACTTCAGCAGCTCTAACATACCATCCCGTTTGGCATGACCAGCCCCAGCCAGCAGTCTCTCCAATTCCATTTCTCAAATGACACAGGAACAGCAGCTAGAACAGGCAGTTCTGTTACCCTGGGTTCTTTAAGCGCAAACAGAACCAAATTCACGTGCAGTATTCATCTGACCCACCACACCTCCCAACGACTAGATTTTCCTAGAAGAATTAAAAGTTGAAAAAATAGTTTCCATGCCAGTCAGTATCCAATTTCTCAAAACTAGCAGAAAATAAGACATAACAGAAACTGCATTTTCATCTTAAATATTTCATCATTCAAGTCTGCAAGCTCAAAAGCATAAGCAAAACCTGTCAGTGAATCCTATCATTAAAGGAAAAAGATACCATAAAACAGTGAAATGAAACAGCTATCTATTTGCATTATACATGGAGCTTCATTATGCCAAGTTTTGTTGTTGCTTTTTTCTTGTGCAGGTTCACAAGTTTCCTCTTGTGATCACATTGAAGGCTTTGATAGCATAGGTACAATTCACTCATCTACATCTTAGAAATGGCAACAACCTTTTCTAGTTTTCAAAGTTGCATCATGAATTTTGGATAGACTCTTTTTCCCCCCCTGCTATTCTTGCTTTCTGTTGACACTCTGATGACGAACAGATCTACGCTCTTGCTAGATTTCTACTAAACTTACCACAAATTTTAAACACACAAGAACTCCCTATGTCCTCTTTGCCTCAAAAAATATCATGGAACATGTACCACTTTTGGAAAGCTGGAAGAAAATTTTGTCTTCTATGAAGTGTTCTGTCTAAACTGCTGTAAAATTTAAATGCCAGCTTAACAAGGAGTGTTAAAGATCAATTCAGCTATTTCACTACCCCGGTATGTTTCAAAGCAAAGGCTGTAAAACAAGATGTCATTCTGAACATACATTTTAAACAACAGAAAGCAGATTAATACTTTTGCAGAACAGTTACAGAAAATTCAACAGAACTGTTGAGATGAAGAGAAACACTCTTAGATGTACTATCAGCTCCTGAGAAGTCAAAGTGAAGGAAGAAATCAGGGTACAGAATCCCAGCAGTCTCCAACAGTCCTACAGTATCTAAGGCAGTGTAGCCATCTTGCTGTAAAAATGCCCAACTCAGAGACCTAGTTAAAAAAGAAACAGTTTTCCAATGTTATCTTCCATATGAAAGGGTAGAGCTTAGCAATTCCAGGATACTGAGAGCATGTGGAACGAAGATGGAGCTCTGAAAATAAAATGCAGTAAGAACTGCCAAAACCCAGGGCTTCACATTTTATCATCTGTACTTACTAAAACAACACTTTTCACATACAAGCTGAAAATGAAATTAAGATAGTACTACCTTTTGCCCTCAAATCAGATGACATCACAGAAGAGAAAGCTTAGCATATACAAGGTATAACAAGTTTACAGCACTGGAGTCTCGTGAAACGATGCTCCTTTCCCCCAGAAGTGAGCTTCTGGCTAGGTCAGCAAGCAGAAGGCCCACTCTGAAGCTCAAAGTAAGAAGTAATGCTGCACACAAGTCACCAGTGTTGACATTGAAAGACAGCAGTATAAACAGGATTGACATCCAAGGAAGTCGTACCCACAAAACTACATTATGACCATCACGTAGTGTTTTGATTTCTGAAGAAACAGAACTTCTGGTTAGTGAGAGCACTAAGCCAATCAGAACTCCCTGAATTTCAATTAAAAAAGAAAAACTTGTCTTTAAATTTACCACCAAATCTCACTGTCTCCACAAAACTGCTGCTAATACAGCTACTACTGAAAGTAAAAGGCCAATAAAACAATGACAATCACTACAACCACAACCCACACAGAAATTCCGATACATGGATTTTTGTTGCTGTTGATGTCTAGTGCCTAACAAATACAGAAGTGGAAAATTAAGTAAAATTTATTTGAATTTAAATAGGTATCTGTAAGACTAGAATTCCTTTTCTGATGTTACACCAAGGCAGGCAAGCTCAAGCATTTTAACAAGACTACATGCACATACATCTTACATATTGAAATTAAGAGTGCTCCAAGCAAAATATTTTTAAGTTACTAAATTAAGAGAAAACATATGCTGACTTTTCCTACATATTCAATTATCATTAGATGGTTTCATGACACCGTACAACTCTGCAGACCTCCTTGAGTAAAAACCTGAGCTTCAACACTGCACATCAGCAAAAAGTTACTAACAAGTACCTCGTTAATATAAACCTGAACAGTTTGAAGGAGGCACAGGCTTCTGTGTTTCTTATGATCTTAACTGTAGCCAGCAACCTGTGCAAAAGCAAAACAGAGTCTCTGTTATGCTTCTGGCTATCGCTACTCACCACACAAAAGTCCTAAGTTATTACACTGCTAGACTGTTTAGAAGTATTGTTGTTAGTTTTTGAGATGTGCAAGACCTTCACAAAAGTATCTTGAGGACGGAGATGTTCGAGTCTGGTTTTATCACTTCGAGATTAATTTTTGCAAGCGCAAGAGCTGATAAGCTTTTGTCAAGACAGAGATTAAGTCACAAAAACTTGGATAAATACCAAATAATCTTGTTTGGATTCAAATGTTTTAATACGTGGAAACTGAGTTCTCTACAAAAAAATTCAGAACAGTAGTAATGTGTTAAGCTATATTAAACTGGACTTAAATGCAATCTTTAGACTTAAGTATATGAAGTTGTAACATTATGTTATGGCTGTAAAAAAAAGTACACCACCTCCACTGCAACTAGAAGCATTCTACTAAGATCAAGAAATTTATTTTGACAGATTCCCAGAGGAAAAAGAGGAACAAGCTAAGCAGGTATATTAATATACAGGTGCTTTGAAAACATTTCCATTTAAGGATCACATTATCCATTCCCCTAAAAATACCACTACACACACACACACAAAAAAAAAAAAGACATGTAGTAGAGACCAGACACTTGTAACACTGTTTTCCAGTACACAATGTCTATGAATTCAGTAATATGGAAAATAAATATGATACAGATGACAACCACTACATGCTTGAAAAATGCTGGTGTGGTTATTTCAGTGACAAACATTTATGTAGTCAGAATTGCTGATGAAGAGAACACTGCAGTTGTTATGCTTTAGTGGTCTAACATAACAAGAAGCCCTTAATTTTATAATGTGTGGTGTGTTCTTCCCTTGTCAGGAGCAGGCAAGACATAATTCCAAGCTATAATTCTTTTAATTCCCAAATGGTAAACCTGTAGAGGGTATACAGTCAGTTTAACTGCTAGCTGACCAATACAACAAAACTAAGCACCTGACTCTCAATTAAGATAATTAACTGCACAAGAAGCAGCCAACTGTTTATTTTTTTAAAAAAGACTCAACAAGTCACTGCAATTAAAATTCAGGGACAAATTGGTGTCAGAGCTTCTTTAGCATTTTGACAACGATTTCCAATCTGAAATTAACCAGTGCTGCCAATATGGACAGGGAAAATAAATCAGATGTGCGATGGTACTATTGGATACAATTGAGTCTGAATTCTTGTTTACAAGCTTCTCTGTATAAAGGCTCTATCCTCCTGAAAAACGATGAAATAAATAAAACTATTACGAAAAAAAATCTATATTTTTTGCTGTGAAACCTTTTGTCAGGCTCCTTCTACTACAAACTAAAATTAAGACACATAACAAACCTTAATAACCACACTATATGCATACTACTATACACAATGTGATATTGCTCCTCCATTAAAGCAGATCACTGAAGGTAAAGTAATACATTCATCTACTGTACTTGACCATGGTTTTGAAACACAGTAAACAGAAACCTTAAACGTCAACAAACAGCATTAAAAAGGTAAGGAAGAACTTGCACAGGAAACGATGGTGACAGAGCAAAGATGATGTGATTAACTGGAGAGAAACTAACAGCATAGGAACAGCAAACATCACGGGTTTTAACAAGTCACAGGCTGATCAAGACCCTTACAACAGACACGGGGAGAGTTCCTCTTGCCCGTCTCCCACAACAGGGCTTCTTGTCTCAACTCACGGGACGAACAGACTGAAAACACGGCCCTGAAGAGCTGCGATTCCTTAAGTAGGCACTAAACAGTATGGCGAGGCCCAAGATAGCGGCTGTAATTCACCCCCACACTCCACCCCTCCAAAAAGGGGCTAGTTTCAATTCGTCCTCCAGCCCAATATAGAGAGTGAGGGGCCCTGCAGCCCTCCTTCAGAATGGAGCGGGGGGGACGACGGGGACGGGGACGGACCGTCCTCCAGCTCCAAATGGAGGAACAGGTTCGCCCCGCTTCGGCAGGAGGCCCTGCCACACACCCCGGGAGAGAGAGGTAAAACTCCCCGGGGTGACAGAGCCCGGCCCATCCGGGGAGAGACGGGGGCCGAGGATCCCTCGGCAGTGCCCCGGGCACACCCGCGCGCAGACCGCCATCACCGCCCCCAGCTCCAACACGGCACCCCGCTCCGCCTCTGCCGCGGGGCGGCTTCGGCCTCCCGAGCCCCGCGGAGCCAGGAGCCGCCCTGCCCTTCCCGGGACCCCGCAGTCCGCACGGCGGGGACCCAGAGCAGGGGCAGAGGGGCCCCGCGGTCCCCCGGCCGCCCCCGGCCCCGGGCGGGGGCCGCAGCCGCCGCCTCCCCTGGGCCTGGGCCTCTCCCTTCTTCGGGCCATTTTGAGAGTTCGCCTCCCGCCTCGATACTCACCGCCCGCCGCCGCCGCCTCCCCAGCTCTCGGTCCTCTGCTCTCCCCGCTCCTCAGCGGGCTCGGTCCCGGGTCGCCTCGCTCCGTCCGTCCCCAAACAGCCGCAGCGTCTCCCTCCCTCCCCTCTCAGGCGGCCATTTTCTGCTCCATTGTTACCAAGGAACGGGGGGCCCGGAAGCGGCCGCCGACAAACGGAAGTGAAGGCGCAGGCGCCTCTGCGCAGGCGCCGCCGGCGCCTCTGCGGGGTGGGGACGGGGGGAGCGCGGCCCGAAGAGAGGAGCGTGGAGGACCGCGCGGCTAGAGCGGCCCCAGCGCTGAGGGGGCGCCGCCATTTTGAAGAGGGGCAAAGGCCGGGGGTCTGTGGCCGGGTGGCATGGAGGCGAGGGGGCTGCCGGCGGCTTTCACGGCCACCCCTCAGCCCACAGCCTCCCGCTGTCCCCGGGGGGAGGCGGAGGGTCCCGGGGCTCAGCAGTGCCCGGGCTGTGGTGCTGTTACGGTGCAGCGGCAGTAGGGCCCGTGTCCCTGCGAGAGCTAGGCCTGTCAGTGTGGGGGCCGCTTAATGTCACCTCACGGTGTGTGCTGGGCAGAGGTGCCAGCGCTCAAGGCCGACGGTGGGCAACGTTTCCGAAAGCCACGTTGAAAACTGGCAGTGGGGACATTCACTCCCCTCATCCTCTAACCGTGGCAGGGTTTCTCGTCTCACACCGGGTTTTCTCTGCTGTCTAACCAGGTGTTGTGTATTAAAGACAACTGTCATGCTATATAAAAGCCAAGGTATTCTTGTTTTACAGTATGAGCCTTAATTAGTTGAACGCCGGCGTTGCCATGTTCTGTGAGGCCTGTTCGTAGGTTATATTTTTCTGCAGTTTTTTCCCTCTCACCACTGAAGCTATAAATGACAGCTGCGTTACCTCCAGGGTCAGTCCATCTCCCTCGTGGCATTCTGGCAGAGAGGTGAAATCAGGCATCAATAAGACATAGTGGAAAGGAAACTGTGGCTGAAAAGAAATAGTTAGGAGAGAAAAAACTACAGTCTCAGTTTTGAACCCAAGGCGGGTTGTGCTATACTGAGTATCTGTGCTAGTTTAAGGAGAGGGAAAGGTTAAGCCTCTGCAGACTTGTCTCCTGTAGAGAACGAAAGGGATTCCCACAATGTTTTGAAAGATCCCATTTTAATGTCAGAAAAGGCTAACTTGCAAAGAACTTGCAAGGAAGTCATCTTTATTTTCAAGCAAGATTCCGTACATAGAGAAAAAAAACCCGTACCTCTGAGGATTTACATGGTTTCAGGAAGTCCGCAAGACACCTTTGTTTCTCCTTTAGGCAGTTTGTTATAACAATAGTGAGATTACTGTCAAGTTTAGGGGTGAGTTGCATTTAAAGGTTGTTGAAACTTAAATGTGTAGAAAGATACAAGCCCAACCTCTAATGTAAATGAAGTGGTTTTATGTATTCACAGTTTAAATTCCCCCCTTCAGACTTGAGAACTCAAAGGCAGCTACGGTGTTCATGCTAGAGGGAATGGAGGGCTCAGGTACAGGGCATATTTCTCATCAGTGTTAGTTGCCACAACATGGGACCAGAAAAGGAAGTGGGTTAGAAACTCACTGAACTGAAGGCTGTGATGCTAAAATCATTAGTAATGGAGAGCAGAAGCAGTCCCAGTTTTAACTGGAGCAGATGTAGGTTCCCAACTATATTTTTGTTGAAATAACCAGCACATAAAGCACAGAAATTTTTTCAGCTGCAGAAGGACAGACGATATGGCATATAGTTGGAGTGACAGAGAGGTGATACCTAATCCAGCGTAAAACTTTCTTGCAGAAGGTTAACCTGTTATGTTTTTAAAAGCAAATTGGAGTTGGGAGAGTGACTTTAAATCAGATCAGCCCTTTGCATCATTGCTGCAGTATAGATCCTGCATTGCAACTGGATTTACAATAGGGTCAAACCATGACCTAACTGCTGTGGTTTGACTGTGTGAGTAAAATTTAAAAAAAGAAAAATTAGGAAGAATAAATTTAATGTCACAAAGCAATTTTGCAGTTCTAATGAACCACAATATTTGTCATTGGGAAAAGTTGCCTTGTTCCAGATCCAGACAAATGGATTTTTATGTAGACAGTGCTCCTACCTCTGACAGATTCCAGCAGTTGGAGAAACTGTATCCTCTGACGAGAGAAATCCTGTGGCTGAGTGTGTATGTACACTTTCATTTTTGGCAGACATTTCTGAAGCAGGCAAAAAATTCATTCCTTTGTCAAACATCGATAATTCAGGGAGCAGATGATCAGCACATAATTGATCCACTTTATCATGGAAAGCCTTGTGCTGACAATTGATAAGCCACCGAGTGTGAGTATTGGCAATTAGTAAATCAGCAGGACGTCCACCAGAGTGCTCCAATGGCAGACCTCAAAGAACTGAAGAAATAGGAGGCGATGTGACTGTGACAGAGTGATTTATGCATGAGAGTGAATCCTATCTTTTCTCCCTACCTTTTCTGAATTCCAGGCAAGGTCAGAGCAGGATAAAAGTGGCTTTGTTATACACCAGTAACCTAAGCAGCAAAATATTAGGAATTTTTGAGCAAATGGGAGGTGGAGCATATTCTACTATTTGAACAGAGGGATAAGATGATGGTTTATGCTCCTAGAACAGCCTCTCAGTATTTTATGGCAAGTAATTTTGTTTGTTTGTCTCTTTCTTTCCCCCTCAATAAAATACTTTTAATTGATTAATCTTACCGAAAGTCTTGAAGATCATCAAATGGCAAGCAACAGAGGAATAAAACATGTTATTTTTTTACCTCTGTGGATGAGTTCAGACTCTTCAGGTAGATATTTGCCAGTTTGCTGGGAGATGAACATCCAGCGATGCAGAGAGATGGCAGCTGGGTTCTGCTGATTCATGCCTGCCTTCAGTGGTAAAAACTTGTAGCTGAGGTCCAGGGCAAACAGCTAAGGAAAAGTACCTCCCTTGGTGTGATTTGGTGTTTATTTGCAAATACCCTCACAGGGTCAATCAGGTGCAGAATAAGCGCTGATTTTTCAAAACCACTTAGTGGATTTCAGTATCCAGTTGACATTAATAGCAATTAATGGCCTGTGCACACATATCTCCTTAACAGCTTTGAAAAAATCAGGATCAATGTAGCAGTGTATTTCAAAGAGCTTGTAGGGGAAAATATATTTGCATACAGAACTTTGCAGTATAGGGAAAAAATCCCAAATCTGTAGCAAAAGCATGGCGTAATTCATACTTAAGTGTTTTCAATTTGCTAAGGTATGTATAGCGAAGGAGAATTAAAACACTTTTCCATGGTAAGTTTAATGTCGTTTCCTTCAATGAGGGTAAATAAATTTGCTTTAAATCCCCCAGGGTCTTAAAAGCTGGTTATTTGGTGTGCAGTGATAGATGAGAAAAATGTTGGTGTTTTTTCTTCTAAAAAATATTAAAATAATTTATTCACAATATAGATAAGTAATAATCCAAAAGCAGTGAGGTGAGAAAAATCTGAATCTCTGGGGAGCTTCTAAACCTGAAGAAAAAAAATAAAAAAGGACCCACCAAACTCAAATCCTTATATACTCAAAGTATCAGCAGAGCCAGGTAGTGAGCAGGCAAATGAAGCCAATTTACACTAATGTACCAGCCCAGAACAAACTCGAGAGGAAACCTAAGAATATAACGATTCCTAATAAGTTTGCTCTTTTCTCCATCTGAGTACTCCGCCTATGTTGCTGTACCACAATGGCGACAGTCCCTCTCCTTCGTTAGGCAGGTGGATGGAGGGTCCCTTCTCTTCTGGTGGGGAGAGAAGCCCATCTTTGTCTTACACAACAAAGTATTTTCCATTCAAACATTACCTCAGGAGGTTATCCCAGCTGGTTATTTTTAAATCAGCAGGTCTGGCATGCTAGAGTTTTAAAGAGCTGGAGAAGGATTTTGCACCTTAAAGAGCCATCTTTAATAGTGTTCAGTAATTTGCTAAATTCTGATCTTGGTCTGGTTTGTCTGGCAGGGCTGTGCTCTCGGGAGTACTTACGTACTCAGGTACCATCCCTCCGCATCTGAGCTTTCAAATTCCCAGCCTGTTCGGGGAGCAGGCAGAATTGTAGAATCATTTAGGTTGGAAAAGGCCTTTAAGATCCAGTCCAACCATTAACCTACCACTGCCAAGTCCCACTAAACCATGTCCCTAAGTGCCACATCTACATGTCTTTTAAACACTTCCAGGGATGGTGACTCCACCACTTCCTTAGGCAGCCTGTTCCAGTGCTTGATAACCCCTTCGGTGAAGAAATTTTTCCTAACTTCCAGTCTAAACAACCCCTGGCACAACTTGAGGTCGTTTCCTCTTGTCCTATCGTTTGTTACTTGGGAGAAGAGACCGACCCCACCTCACTACAACCTCCTTTCAGGTGGTTGTAGAGAGCGATAAGGTCTCCCCTCAGCCTCCTTTTCTCCAGGCTAAACAACCCCAGTTCCCTCAGCCGCTCCTCACAGGACTTGTGCTCCAGGCCCTTCACCAGCTTGGTTGCCCTTCCCTGAACGTGCTCCAGCACCTCAGTCCTATCAATCTAAACCCGCATTTCTAATGTAAATCTCATGGTGGGCCTTAAGCTGTGTTTGATGAAAGATGGCAGTAGAATTAATCACCTCATTTCTGGCAAAATCTGTTCTGGAGGGGGATCTTGAGAGGAAGATGGCAGCTAAACACAATAGGAAACGTATAGGAATTTAGCACCAACAGAGGTGCTGTTGGTGCCTTTTGAAACTCTAAATTCCTTGTCTATAAAAACAGGAGGATGATTTGGTGACTTTCTGTTTCGTTCTGTCAGCTGAAGAGAGGATACCTGTTAAGACAGGAGTATCAGAGCTGTGTCTGAAGCCGTGTGGATTCACAGGAGTTTTCTGAGCAGGTTCTTGTATCCTCTCTGGATTTGGTTCTGTTTCCAGCCATGTCATCCTTCCAGTGTCGTTTCTCTGCCAAGCAGCAGCAGCAGCAG